ACCTTGTGTATGCATTGTTGATAGCATCATAACATTTTTTCCTTTTTTTGGAACATATGACAATAAAAGACAATTATTGTCTCCAAATCCAAATTTTGTACTACATATTTGTCGATTTTTTATGTCTAAAAAACWTGTTGGTATCTCCCGTTTATTTTTTTTCAGTGTACCTACCATAGTAGTTTTATAGTCTTTTAGTAGTTCGACTGCTAAAGGGACTGAAGTGAACCAATTATCAATAGTAATATTACGGCCTGTTTTAGCAATTGGTTTTATCATACGTTTGACAACACTAGCTCCACTATTATTCTGTAAAAATGGTCCAATCGGTTGTTTGCCTGCGTAAATTTCCATATTTACTGTATAAAATACACGTGAATCTACCAAAGCAAAAATCTTTATACCATATTTATTAGGTTTGTTGGCTATGTACTGACGAAATTTACATCGTCCTCGGAAGCCCTCTAACATTTCGTCGATTGTACAATATTCTCCTGGTGTATAAAATGATATGCAACGATTTACGAATTCATCAAAAACCGTTCTARTTGGTGCCAAATTGTCAATTTTTTTTCGTTCATTTCGAGTGTGTATGTTATCAAATCGTAAAGCGCGAAGTAAAAGGTAAAAACGTCTTTCAGACATAACAGCACGAAAAATGTCTGGAGAGAATCCATCGTTTGCCCACAAGTCGGAAAGATTTATGTGATTATTTCGCAACATACCAGCAATATATAAGAGACCGATAAGTGCTCGAATTTCTTCTACGTCAGTATCTAAAACATCTTTGTCCCTTTGATAATTATCACGAATTTTTGCTAAATATATATTAGTACAAGTAGTAATTTCTTGTAAACAATCGTTGGGAAAAAAAAGTTCCCAAGAGTCAATTATAGTTTTAGCATTTTTTGCTGCCGATTTTACACCAGGAAGGTGTGTTACAATATTTCTTTGTGGAGTTCTAACATTACGAGGAGGAGGGTCAGTATACCACTTGATAATATTATCTTTACCTTTATTATATCCACGAAAATCATTTCCAATAGAATCGTCAGAACAAGACATTTCGGAATCACTTTCATTTCCAATAGATTGATAACTATTTTCTGGATTATCTAATACGTCTCCATCACTGTCATCTTCATCGAGGTCAAAATCATCTAACATATCATCGTCAGCTTCCTCAAGCCAAGCAGATATGTTATTATCCATAATAAAATAATGCACACAAAAAAAGTACTTGTTTGGTCGCGTATAGAGAATTTCTCT